CCTCCGCCTCCGCCTCCGCCTCCGCCTCCGCCTCCGCCTCCGCCTCCTGATGCTAGGATTAAAGGCTTGCATCACCACTGCCAGCTGGTCTCATTTTTTTTTTTTTTTTTTTACACATAGAATACTCTAGGGTTAGTCTCCACTGATACCTTTAATACATTTAAATGCTATTATTCTCTGTCCAAATATGATAAACTGTCGAGATTTAAAGACATTTAAGTTTAAATTACACTTACAAAAAGAGCTATTTGTAAGTGAAGACTGGGACAGATTGCAAAGCAAGAGCCTGAGGTCTAACCATGGCTTCTAGGTGTGCTGTGTCTGAGCTGCGTGGTTAAGAGGTAACTGCATGTTCGATGCACATGTCGAGTAGCCCAAAATGTGGAAATTGTTTAGTCAGCCTTATCTCAGTCTCCTCTGCTACAAGTATGATTTTTTTTAGATGAGATTATATAAATATGCAATTTAATATTCTTTTCACTTAAGAGTATATAATAAGCATTCCTACATACCATTTAATATTCTTTGAAGATACCATTTTTAATGGCTACTGATTTAACACATGTGAAAGTGTGCTGACCGACCCTCCACTGGATTTTAACTGTCTTGTCTCTGTTGTGAACAGCACCCTGGTTACTACCCTTGTGTTACATCACTGTTCACATATCTATTTTTACAGGACACATTTGTAGAAAAGGAATTGAATGTTTGTTTTTATAACATTAAAAACATAGAAGCAAATTCAATAACATTGTTTGAGAGTTACCATTTTCCAATTCTATATGTGTACATATAGAATTAAAAGCCTCCATGAATCAAACACATTCATCAAGTAGGAAGTCTAATGGCCAAAACTGTGTTTATATTTCCAGGCATTTTCAGATGAATTTGACAAAAGAAATAATGGAGAGCCTAGTGACAAAAATCCCAAGGCTGAAGACACACAAGGTTCAGTAAAGCTCTTAAGTTGACCAGTGATTTCTTGTTACTAAGTAGCTGTTTAGTGACAGGTAAAGGATGGTGGTGATAATTTTTCTGATAAGTCAAACTGTGGAACATGTTAAGTTATATTCCATACACATGAGTATAAAAGACACTGGCCTGGTCATAGGACTTGGTTCAAAACGGAAGGTGGGTTATACTATATAATCTATACAGTGGGGTATTTAAATTATCAGTGAGACTGCCACCCACAGTGGATAATGTGATATATATTTTCCAAGAGACAGTACAAAGTAATAATTCCCTGTCAAACGGTTTGGTGTTTTTAAGGTTATTTTGTTAGGGGTTCACTGAAACTATGTTTTGAAGTAAGGTTTTGCTATGTTGCCCAGGGTTGGCCCCACACTCCTACTAAGCTCAAAGAGATCCTTCTGTTCAGGCCCGATCCATAGTAGAAGATAACCAGTATAGAAATAGCGTGACCTGCAACCCAAATTACTCTTGCTTCTGCTGACTTGGTGACTGACTCTGCTTTTTTTTTTCTGGGCAGGTATCTATGGGAGTCTTTCCAGCCCCACGTTAGGAGTGCATGAAATGAATATTGGCCCAATCCTCTTCCAAGTGGCCACTGGGAACATCATCAAAGAAGTGGCGGATGTGATTGTCAATTCAACATCAGCCACGTTTACTCTCAAATCAGGTATTTCACTGAGATGGATTCAGCGTCACGTTGTAAATCATTGTGCAGATCCTCGAAAGAAGTGTTTCTGTACCAAATGGTTTTGTTGGCCAGGGGTGGTTCATGTTAATTAATAGCTTAAAAGCTATTTCAATGAGCCTTCTCCTCTCTCTCCTCCTCCTCCTCCTCCTCCTCCTCCTCCTTCTTCTTCTTCTTTTCCATGACAGGCTTTCCTGGAACTTGCTCTGTAGACCAGGGTGGTCTCGAACCCTGAGAGTTAGAATTAAAAGCCTGCATTCATTCTTATAAACAGCAACATTTTTGAAACTTTCTTCTTTATCCGTAAGGCCCAGGTGTGGATGCTCTGTGATGGGATGTGTTGAGATACAAAGGTTTTCCCGTCAAGTTACCATCTTGATTTTCTCATGTAGGGGTCTCCAAAGCAATTTTGGAAGGTGCAGGACCAAGTGTGGAGCAAGAATGTTCTCTCTTGGGTAAGGAACAAAGCTACTTCTTCTTGGTGCCAGACTGTGAAGGGGAAGATTGAATACGGTGGCTGTGAGGATGCTGAGGAAGGTCTTGGGGCTGGGAAGACAATGTATTAATCTTAAGATAATATATTCTGGGCTGGAGAGATGGCTCAGTGGTTAAGAGCACTGACTGCTCTTCCAAAGGTCCTGAGTTCAATTCCCAGCAACCACATGGTGGCTCACAACCATCTGCAATGGGGTCTGATGTCCTCTTTTGGTGTATCTGAAGAGAGCACTGGTATGCTCATATACATAAAATAAATAAATAAATAATAAATAAATAAATAAATCATTAAAAAAGAATTTTAAAAAGGTCATATATTCTATTAAAGAATGAAATATGAAAAAATTAAAAGCATAGGGTTGTCTTACAGTTAAGAGAAATTAAGCCTTAGAATTTCACTACACATAGCACTTCAAGAGCTTTTCATTCATAAAATGTTTCCTCTCCAGATTAGATATCTTGATTGTTCAAAGAGTAGGTTTGACATCTGATTCTGAATCTGTTTTATGTTTCACAGCTCAACAGGGTAACCATGAGTATATAGTCACTGGAGGTGGATTACTGAAATGTAAGAATATTATTCATGTTGATGGTGGGCGTGATGTCAGGAGATCAGTTTCCTGTGTTTTGGAAGAATGTGAAAAACGGAACCACTCATCCGTTTGTCTACCAGCTATTGGCACAGGTTCGTAGCCACAGGCTCTTAAGGCTCCATCCCAGCGCGTCCACTGCCCAAGGGTTTGGTCCTCCCTGAGTCTGGGTGATGACAGTGACACCTTGCTGAGAGTGGCATCAGTTCTCTCTCTCTTTCTCTTTCTCTCCCTCTCCCTCTCTGGAAAGCAATGGCTAGGGAGAAGTGTTGGTGATTGGGGGATAGCAGAAGGGCTGGTGACAGTGGTGGTGATTTATAGGCTCAATATTACTTATGGAACAAAACTTACACATCTGGGGCTGGCAGGAATGCCTAACAAGAAACTCTGAACTCTTTGAACTGTACATACGTATAGTCAGACAGACAGATACACATTTGGTAATTAATTCCTGCTGGCAGCAGCAGGTAATTAAATAAAGGATTGTTAGAGAAACCCTCTAACAATTAACAGCCTCACTGGCCAGGTGAGAAGGAGGCTTGGCACAATTAACTTTTGTGAACCAGGAAAAGAAAGTCACGCTCACAGAAAGAAAAACTTTTATGCAAGTAGATACACACATACATGCACACGCACACACGCACACACACACACACACACAAACTTATAAATACATTCATGTCAGGCCCAGCCGCTATCTCATCCACTCCACAAATATTTTTGCATACCTACACATAGACAAATATACATTCGGTGAATGGATGGATAGGGGAGAGCCCCCCCAAGCCAATGACCTTATTTCTTTTCTCTGGCCTTTTTATACCTTCCAAGACAAAAGTTCCTTAGAAAATTACCTCACAGATAAAATGTTACAAAATGAGAGTTACAGAAGGATGCTGATATTAAGATCAAAGCAGTGTTTCCTTCTATCAGCTCATTGTGTGATCGAAGCAACAGTTGCATGTGGCCTTGCTTTGTCATAGCCACACCTGTGGCTTCATCCTTGGACCTGACCTAGATGAATGTTTTTCCTTGATCACTAATTTGTCTCAAGCCTATTTCTCTTTTTTTTTTATTTTTTTATTTTTTTTTTAAAGATTTATTTATTTTATTTATGAGTACACTGTAGCTGTCTTCAGACACACCAGAAGAGGGCATACAATCTCATTACGGATGGTTGTGAGCCACCATGTGGTTGCTGGGATTTGAACTCAGGACCTCTGGAAGAGCAGTCAGTGCTCTTAACCACTGAGCCATCTCTCCAGCCCCTATTTCTCTTTGTAGTCTAACTGTGTGTATTCCTTATTATGCAGCCTCTAATTACTATTTTATGAGGAATGGGCACATTCTATTCTTGATTTTTACTTTATTACATCTTTCTAGCTAAACAACTAAAACCATCTCTTAAGATTATTTGATTATCATCTCTTAAGATTAATCTTCCTAAGATTATTTGAATCAAATCAGGATTTCTATAAAATTATTAATTTACCTAAACAGTATTAATTCATGAAAGTTCATCTCTATGTTAATCTGCAGAAAGTCTGCTCAATAGGGTGGGCTAATGCTCAGGGATTATTATATTAATTTAATAATGACAGAAAAGGCATATCAGCTGCAAGGAGCCACCCTGAGATGAAGTCTTTTGGGACCTTGCCTCTCAGAGTTTACCCATCTTAGGCCATGCAAAAAGGTGGATTACCACCAGGAAGGCCACTTGGTAGTTTAGCCTTTCCTAAGTGTATCCTGACAATGCCTCACCTGGGAACAGACACTTTCCTCACTCCAAGGTCCCCCAACCCACTAGGGAATGATCAAAGCCTATTCCTTATGCTATGTCCCCCCCCCCCCCAACCATAAAAACATTTTCATTGCTACTTCATAATTGTGATTTTGCTATTGTTAAGAATTGTAACAAAACTAGTCCAGACTCACATGTTCAGGTCTACAACCTTAGTCAAAGGTATCTACTGTCATTTTCTGCCACAGTGATGGGCACCATCAACAGGAATAATCCAAACCGCTCTCAAGCCAGCTTGCCCAGAGGACTGTGGGATTGCCTGTCATGTGACTTTGCAGCTGCCATTCACTTCGGGCCTCACCCATGAGTAGAAAGGGATTTTTCACAATCTTACCTAGCTGATGGCTTCCAGGGCTTGAGAAACAAGATCTGGAACATGCAGAAGACAGGAATGATCAGCTTTGAATCCTTCTGGGCAGCTAAAATTGGACCGAGTAGGGGGAAGAAAGACATCCTGGAGGCTCAGGATAACTAATACACCCAGAATTATAGATTATAACAAGTAGCTTACAGTTGTGGGTGCCTTAGGAAAATCAGGTCCCCAGAGATAGCAGAAGAATGCAGACACATGCATAAAATCAAGCAGAGGCAGGGGTAGTAAATTGTCCCTCTAAGGACCATGTTGTTTCAAGAGATACTAGCTCTTTTTTTTTTCCTTTTATGATCTTTTGAGGACACCAGTAAATCAAGTGGGGGAAGGTCACCTGGGTTCTGTAATGGAAAGAGAGTGACACTGGGAACCAGATCAGCTGAAGAGGACAGATGTGAATGTCACAAACTACAAGTTGTGTTTTAGGGTCTTTTGCTAGGGTGTTGGCCTATGAAGAGCATGGAACAAACCCTCCCCACTGTACCTAGGACTTCAAAACTATTTTCTGATGTAGTATTAGAAGTCTACATTGATGATAGTGGGAACAGGCATTTTTATTTCCTGTGACAACTAGAATCCCTTGTTTATGCTGCACTCTTTTGCAGGTGGATCTTAACCTTGACATTTTTAAAAATGTGCTTTTTTGAAGGAAGTGCTCAACAGGACCCAAACACAGTAGCAAAAGCGGTAATAGATGCCATTGAAGAATTTGTCCAGAAAAAATCAGTGCAGTGTGTGAAGAGAGTTAAAGTTGTTATCTTCCAGCCCCATATTCTGGAATTTTTTTATGACAACATGAAAAAAAGAGAAGGCTCTCCAGCCCCTCCCAAGCAGACGGTGATGTCTATGATTGCCTGTGAGTTGTTAACTTTTATGAAATACATATTCCTAACCTTGATGTTGAAGGGAATAAAAGAAACATTAATTTCCATTTTCTCTTTAGCCCTTTTTGGCTTTTCCAAGCAAGCTTCCCCCAAAAAGAACACCCTGGTTTTGGAAAAGAAAATAGAGCTCACAGTTTTCCAGGTATGTGGTTCAAGTGTAGGCAGTGTGGACAGCGCAATCTCCTGGCTAAAGGATCTGATTACCAAAGAGCAGTTTACCTACACCAATGAGGATGAGTGTGTCAGACACTTTGACATTGAGGAGGTCAGTAAACTGAGTGAGATGCAGAAGAGGCTGAACATCACCATCGACCTGGACCAGAAGAAACCTTCGATTGAAGTTTCGGGAATTAGCAGAGACGTGGTAAAAGCTCGAGATGAGATTGACAGCATGGTCAAGAACATTCGATTGGCTAAAGAGAAGGAAAGCCAGGCAGACTATGTCTCCACGTTTGTGGAGTGGCAATACTTTGATAATAACACCACGCAGTGTTTTGACAAAATAGCCAACATGCAGTTGGAGGATGCGTGGAAGGCAAAGCAGAAGAGCACAGTTGTCAAAATTCACAATCAGGACATCACGGTGGACCTGAGCACAAACACAGCCAGGGCTCCCCGAGGACTGAGTTTCAATGTTCAGCGCCTTGTCAAAGCTGAAGGTAAGTTAAATGCTCAAGCATGTCTGCCCGATATTACTCTGACTCGAGTTTAACACTATTTTAGAAACAGCAGTTTTTATTTTGTTTTTGAGACAGTGTTTCACAATGTAGCATGGCTGGTCTGGAGCCCTATGTAGTGCAGGCTGGCCTCATATTCACAGAGATCTGCCTGCCTCCCCTGTGCTGGGATTAAAGGCTTTCGCCACCATGCCCTGCTATATTAAAATTTCAAGTAGATACAATTCAAGTAACCCTAGTAGAATAATTTTGAAATCTTGGTCTCTGTGTTTCCAGAGCATACACCGTGGCCGGGAAAGTATAGATAAAGTCAGCTGCCCAGGAACAACCATTGACCGTAACGACAGCTAATCTCGTACCTGCTCCCATTTCTGCAGCTTATAAACTTTCGGAGCCAGTTCTTTTGGGGGAAGTGATGGCTGCCCTAGTCAGAAATAGAAAAATAATAGTTTTAGGGGGGAAGTGTCCTAAGGTTCTCAAGCACACAAAGACTAAGGAGAGGACAGATTTGTTAGCGTTTATTTCCAAGTTGTCTTTTCTTTCCTGAGCAAAAGGTTCTTGGGAACCAGTCAGGAAGCAGCCTACAGATTCCCTGTCTTCTGTAGACAGTCATTCCTGCCTTCAAACTGTAGAAGGCCTTGTTGGCTTCTCATAGATGATATTCATCTTCTGTAGGATCAATATGGATGAACCCCTCAGATTCTGAGTAGCTCTGGAGGAATGACACACCACATGTGGCATTCTGCAGCCTGTCACAGACAAACCCTACCATCCACCCACCTCTTAAGGATGTAGTGAGACAAATGAGGAGATACATGTAGACTATTCTCTGGTGGTAATGAGGTGTTCTGGTTAAAACCCATGCATATGCAAAACTGCAGAGACTGCCCAAAACAAGTTAGGTAAATAATCTGCTAAATTAATCAGTAGAGGCTGAGCAGTGAATGAGGGTAAGTTAAAGTGTGTGGTCGGTTCTCACACCTTAGTATGATCAAAATAGAAGGTGTAGAAACAGAGGCTGTAACCCTAGGAAACCTTAACTTCATACATCAGGGGCTTTTCTTCTGGAGGAGGGTGCTGAGAAATGGGTTCAGGTCTCATCTGTATCAAGCAAGAGATCTAGCATTGATCTACTGCCTCCTTTGAAGAAGCTTTCTAGTTTATCCTGATACAAATGGTCCATGGTCCACACTTTCAGCAAACATCCTTTTAGAAAGATAAGGAATTTCTTGAGTATATGGAATTATGCCATTGCAACCCAAGAAGGAGGCAGGATTTTTCAAAGCATACTAGAAATCTACATGGGAGCCCTAAATGTCTACTTTGCAGCTGAAATCCCTGCCAATTGGAGTGACATGAATCAGAAAAAATTGCTTGTGGTGAATCTTCAAACTGGCCGTACCGAATACAACATGGTGGCAAGTGCCTTCCATCAGACCTGCTCAAACTTTGTCATAGAGAAGGTGAGTCGGCTGTTGACAAGGAGTTTGCTAATGGTGGCAGTAACTGAAATCGAGACCCTGTATGAGCTCACTCACATAATGGGTCTGTAGAGGTGGCCTAGGGGTCAAGATCTTGCATTGCTTTTGCAGAGGACGCCACGTTCCAGGTTTGTTTTCTAGATCCATGCCAGTAGCTTACGGCAGCCTGAGAGTGCAGCACCAGCATATGCAAAACTGAAATTATGTTTTTCCTTGAGCTCAGTGGTAATATATTTTTGTTTTAGTTATTCCTCTTCTAGCCTTTGTGAGCACCTGTACTTACATGTGCCAACCTCAAATATATATGATCTAAAATTAAAAATAAACCCACTTTCACTTTGTATATTTTTATTACCTAGAAGCAGTTAAGTTTGTGTGGCTTGTTTTCTCCTTCCATCTTTACATGGGTTCTGGGGGTTAGATTCAGGTCACCAGGCTTGTAGGGAAGGCATTTTTACCTACTCAGTCAATTTCTCTGGTCCGGCCTTCAATTTTTGAAGGACATTTTTGCTGAGTATAGAATTCTGAATTGGCAGTTTTTGTTTTTTTTTTTTTAAGCATTTTGTAGAAATGATTCCACTATCCTTGGACTTCATTGCTTATTTTTGTATCACTCTTCTCTCTGGAATCCTGTCTCATTAAAACCTTGTCTTCACCTCCCCTGCATCTCTCTGGTAATCTACCGGTGAGAGAGTAATTTTGATTGATAGGATGGCCAAGAGCTAATGGCTGACAATACATCTACTAAAAAATAAAGTTTAAGATTTATTTTTCTTTCTTCCCTTCCTCCCTCCTGCCTTTTCTTTTTTCCATGGTGCTGGAAACTGAACCTAGGGCCTCACATACACTAAGCGTTCATCCATCCACTGAACTACACCACCAAGTCTCAAATAATTATGTGCTGTTTCTAAGAAACTGCTCTAAATTAAAAAACTGGAAATTTCAAAACTGAAAGTTTAAAAAACTGAGTTAAATGACAAAATTTAAGATGAGTGAATATAAATTTTTTTTTTTTAATTTTCAACACAGTTGAAGATGAGAAACAGTTGGGTAAATAATAAAAGGAGAAATGATGTAAAAATACTAAATCATATAAAATATGTGGAAATGTTGAGACTCTGAACTGGACAGTGGTCGTGCCTTTTTTCTCAGGTTTTTGATGTTTTAAGACAGAGTCTGACCATGTAGTTCCAGAATGGCCTCTAAGTCATGACCTTTATTGATTATTCACCAAGTATTGAGATTAGCACTCAGAGTGTGCCACCCATATTGGAGGGAAAATTATATATAACTCAGTTGGCAAATTTCCTGCCATGTGACCATGAGGGTCTGACTTCAATCCCTAGACTCCATGGAAAGCATCCAAGTGTGGTAGTCCATCCTGGTAACCACAGAGCTTCATGGAGAACACAGGTGGATCCCTGGCACTCAGTGGCCAACCCACTTAACTAGATGAGCTGCAGGCCAGTAAGAGCCTTGTCTGTGTGGATCTGTGTGGGGTGTGTGGCTGGCACATGTGGAAGTGAGGGCCATAACTTTGTGGAGTCAGTTTTTCACTTCCAACTTTAGGGGTCAAACTCATGTCACCATATACTTACTGAGCTGTCTTACCAGTCCTAAAAGAATTCTGAACATAGAAACACTCACTTGGCACTGAATTTGCAACTGAGTGTAATTTGTGTTTATGAAAGACAATGATGTTTTATTTGCTATCACTGGCAAGGGCTCTTGGCACACTTTTCTTTATTAACTTACAGATTGAAAGGATTCAGAATCCAACTCTTTGGAGAAAGTACCAGGCACACAAAAAAGCTATGGATGAAAAGAATGGCAATGTAAAAAATGAGAAGCTTCTCTTCCATGGAACGGAGGCTATCTCTGTGCCACAGCTCAACAGTAATGGATTTAACCGCAGCTATGCTGGGAAGAATGGTAAGTGTTGGGGTCTGGGAATTGCCGCACAAACCACTCAAACACCAATCCCAGTCAAATAGGGATGGTTTATTGAACACCACACCCCAAGACTGATCAATCAGGGCCACAGGTCAGACTTGGGAACTGTGACATTGAGTCAAGGTTCTATAGGGCTTTTATTAAAAGCCTGAGATCGACAAACAACTGTGCTAAGGTATTGTACCAATCAGGATTTAGGGATGGGCACTTCCTTAGGAACATGTCTGGTGTACACTTACCTGCTCCCATTGGTTGGGGTATTCAACTGTGGCAGGGGACTTGCCTTGTCTAACATTCATGTGTTAACTTGTCAACCAAGATGTTGGTTACCCATGTACATGTCTCTTTCTGCCAAGTAGGATATTAGTTCCCAGGGAGGTATTGGGAACTTAAACTTTACTGACCACTACTTAAAATGGAAGTCTTGCTGGGCAGTGGTGGCGCACACCTTTAATCCCAGCACTTGGAAGGCAGAGGCAGGTGGATTTCTGAGTTCGAGGCCAGCCTGGTCTACAGAGTGAGTTCCAGGATAGCCATAGCTATACAGAGAAACCTGGTCTCAAAAAAACAAAAAAACAAACAAACAAAAAAATGGAAGTCTCATTCCAAATAGTTGGGAGCCCATCCCAGGAGCATTTTATAAAGGTAAATACTATAAAAATCTCATACACAGGTGTAGGAAGTGCTACTGGGTTGTTGGTTCAGATCCAAGCTTATTGTGAGTAACTATACAAGGCATTCTACTGACTTCTATCATGAGTCATTTCCAAGGGCACAGAACATAACAGACTATGTAACCAACCTGGGCCTGAGGAAGTTTCCTAGTAACAGCAGAAACATATGAGAAAGTTTCCTTATAATATTAGTAACAGCACAAAATGCAGGCTAGCCAGGTAATTACCTAGGCATTACTAGTAAGAACACGCAATCAGCTACTCTAAATGGGATGCTGGCTGGGAGAACCCACCCTGGGCACCATGTGGATTCCCTGTGCTCCCCACACTACTGTCAGCCAGACTAGAGCTAATTTTAACAGTAGAACTAACATATTTTACCCCAAGAGCTCGATTGTCCCTTTGAGGAGGAAAATTTAATTTTTAAAAGGTGGGGAAAAAAGAACTGAAACAAAATATTTAAACTGATCACTCCTTTTACATTAGTTGACATATTGGGTTTGCATGTTGATTTCTATGCTACACCAAATTTCTTTAGCATGTTTTTCTCTTTACAGCTACGGCCTATGGGAAAGGAACCTATTTTGCTGTCAATGCTTCCTATTCCGCAAATGATGTGTATTCCAGACCAGATGCCAATGGGAAAAAATATATGTATTATGTGCGGGTTCTCACTGGAAACTACACAAATGGAAACTCGTCACTGATTGTGCCTCCTTCAAGGGACCCTCAAAATGCTACTGACTTGTATGACACTGTTACAGATAATGATAAAAATCCGAGTATATTTGTAGTTTTTTATGACAATCAAGCATACCCTGAGTATCTTATCACATTTAGGCGGTAACACTTTGGGGTGCCTTCTGAAAGACATCATCGGTGTTCATGTATCTGTTGTAGGACAAATTTTAGCTGTTTTCCTTCTTAAGCTTTCTCTAAGAGCACAAGGTCTTTCTTTGCCATGGATGTGTTTCCTCAGCTGCTCCTTCATAGTGAAAATTAATCTACTTGAGAGCCAGTCACTTGAGAATTTAAAACAGGTAACAGCTGTAACTGCGTTCACAAATATGAACCTCAAATCTGTGGAAAATAACAGACTTTTATATTCTGGAAGGACAGTAACACCTTTATGCACTTTCAGAAAGCCCCACAATCCCAGCTGCCACCAGTGGAATCGTGTCAGAGTGCCACTGAGCTGTGGGACATAGTACCACTGAGCCAATGAGGCTGCTGTCTTCCTTGCTGCCAACTGAACAGATTCCAAGACAGAGAACTTCATTCTTCACTGACAAAGCTGTGTCGTGTGGGTTGGACAGCTCCAGCCAGGGTAATGTACAAATCGGATGCTGGGATGTGGCTCTGGGTCTGTGTGAACTGAATCTCCCAAGGAGAGGCACAGCTCAAGCTCTGGCCCCAATTGCCAGTGGGCCCTTTTAATGTTGACACCAGTGTTCAGGCTACCTAGGGAAGAAATGTGATGGTGCCTGCTACCTCTTCAGTGGAAACTCTCCTACCGTGTGAAAACGAGTGAACTCTCAAGGGTATCGGCTAGCATCCTTACTGTGGCAGGCCAGCTTGTGATAACTTGAAAGCTTTACGTCAGTCACTTTGCTAACTTACTAACAGTATCTACTGGATGTGAATTATTTCTTGTGGTGTCAGAGATTACCCAGGACCTCACAGGAGTCAGGCAAGCAGTCTACCACTGAACTATATTTCCAGCCCTCTTCTGTGTTGAAGCAGGATTCCACTAAGTTGCCCTGGCAGGGTTTGAACTCATCTTTCTGCTTTGGCTACTTATTGAGAAGCCTGTGCTTTAGTTGTTCCTTTAATTTCCTCCTGTACATTTCAGACTCAATGCCACTTATTGAGCGCCTGGACCTTTATCAGGTAGTATAAGAGGTGTGTTCACATACATGATTTTGTTCCCATCAACAGTGCATTGTAAGAATTATTCCATTATTTAAAGGCTTAGGAACATGCTCAGAGTACAAGAAATGTCCTTGCCTGAGGTCACCGAGGCAGTAACTGCAGAGCCAGCCAACTGAGTCTTGGTATTGTTGTTGAGCCCCTTACTGTACCCACCACAGAGCCTGCTCTTGAGATAAGTGTGTGCTGCTTAACAAGTTATCTCAGATGTCTGAGGCAAACCCAGATGTCCTCGGCTTTTTTCCTTCTGGAATTGGTGTCCACTGTACCCCTTATTAAGTGTTTTCTAGGCCGTGGAGCTGGTGCTGTGTAATGGTCCTAGGTGGTACACTCTTGGATGTTGGGGGGATTAAGGTGCTGGTTCCTACCATCAGCATCACCAGTGGACTTCAAGCAGAGAGGTCCCCATTGTTGTCCCATCGACACCGAGGCCTTGAGACGTTGGCTGCTGTCTTAAGTGGACTGGCAGAGACTGTGGCTTGGGAGGGGTCTTCCTCAGCACTGGAACCTGAACTTGGCACTAAGGATGGGCTGAAGAGATGGAATGAAAGGGAGAGGCTTGTTTTCATTTGCCTTTGTTCTCTAGTGGCTTGGTTAACGCAGGGCAAGGCTGAATGATAGTGGGATGTGACACTGAAGTATAAAGACCCAGCCAACAAATGTTAGTCACTTTCTTTCTTTTTTTCTCTCTCTCTTTCTTTCTTTTCTTTTCTTTCTTTTTTTTTTTGGTTTTTCGAGACAGGGTTTCTCTGTGTAGCCCTGGCTGTCCTGGAACTCACTCTGTAGACCAGGCTGGCCTCGAACTCAGAAATCTGCTTGCCTCTGCCTCCCAAGTGCTGGGATTAAAGCCGTGCGCCACCACTGCCTGGCTGTTAGTCACTTTCAAAGTAAATATGTCATTGTCATTTTTTCACTTCCTAGTAAAGTTACATAATTACATAATAAATGTCTCTTGGTGGAATCATTTTTCCCCTGAAGGGTAAACATAGGAGCACCTCAATGACATACAGTGGCCACCGTTGACAGAAAGTCACAACCAATACAACAGCACCAAGGAACCTTAAAGGTACTAACGTTCTGTTGGAAATTACTGGAAGGGCACAATGTAGGAAAAGTTTAAAGTCTCTCCAATGATCAGTGAGCCCGGAGTCAGTGACAGGTCGTGATAGCTTACTGTAGGCCACAGAGTCCTATGTTCCTTGGTCGCCTGAGGGACACTCCATGCCATCTAGAGTCTGCTTTCAGCAAGCACCACAAAGATGCCAACTGCCCTGACACCCGGGGCAGCTACACCAGGACTTTGGGACCCAGGTACTTTTGCCTTTGTAGCCCCTTAGTGAATAAATAGCATTAAAACCTAAACTCAGGGACTAGAGAGATGCTCAGTGTAAGAGCACTGCTCTTGTAGACCTGCCTTTGGTTCTTATCACCTATATGGCAGTTTATGGTCACCTGTAACTATAGATACAGGGAGCCAATGCCCCCTTTCTGACCTCTGAGGGAACTGCACATGTGTGCAGGCAAACATTCTCACACATTAAGTAAAAATAAATACATTTTAAAAATCCAGATTATGCAACTATACTGCTACATTCATGGATGTATTAAAACAAAACAAAAACAAAAAACCCCCCAAAACTAAGGAGTCCTAAAAGCACAATGGACCTTGGGCACCATGCCTACTGAACACCAAGTGGGTATGTCAGCCCTGCTGACTTATCTCTCAGTACTGGATACTACCAGGCATGCATCTGAGCTCTGCTGGCTCATATAGAGCCAAAGTACTTACTTAGCAGTTGATTTTCCTGACTCAGGTGTCGTCCTTGGAGATGCAGGGTGATCTGGGGACAGCTCATGACAGTTTTCACTGTGCTTACCATTCCGATGCCCTTGCAATTGATCTTTACAAAATCAGGGACCACCACCTACTTTTATGGAAATTATTGCAGGTTATTTGATCATACTATGAACCCCCACCTAGATTGAGCTATTTACTCGGAAAAAAAAAAAAACCCAAACCTGTTTCTAGTCATGGTATGGTTCAGCCCTTAGCACACACCTTTAATCCCTTTTGATGGAGTACAGATATGCATGCCCTTAGTACTCACCCTTAATTTCAAACAATGAAGGTAAAGTTAGTTTGTAGAAGGAAACAGCCATGCTCAAAAGTGATGTCTGAGTGACGAACCAGGAAGATTTGACAGAACAAAATATGTCCAACTCTCATGAAAAGAGAGAGTTCCAACTCTTATGAGAAGAAAGCTTCTCATGAGAAGCTACTTAAGGGTTAATGCAGAGAGAGGAAGGAAGCAGTTTTACTAGGACAGTTGCATAGACAGGTTGCAGAGAGAGAACAGGTGAAGATAGAATGAGCCAGAGAATGAGAAGGAGCCAGAAGATCAGAACAGATTGTTTAGAGTTAGTTTGAAGCCAAGCAGAGCAATTCAGGAGAAACTAAGAGAAGCCAGATTGGCTCAGTCAGCCTGGAGAGGAGTTTGAGCCATAAAGCAGAGAGAACTAGGAAGGGTGAGCTTATTCAGCAGTAAGCCTCAGAGGCTGAAAACATTCTAGGCCTAGATTAGATTGTACACAGGCTAGTAGCTTCCAGGACTAGGCCTAGGTTAGCAGACAGAGGCAGTGAACCCCTGAGACCACAATTACAACAGAATAAAAGATACTTTAATACAAACCCTTCCCATGTCTTTGTATAACACCACCATTCCCTCTCATGGAATGAAAGACTTCCTTCAGAAGACCATCCCAGCTTCTCTGAGCCCAGTGAACACTGAGTCCATTCTGGAACAACCCTGTGTACTGCGCCTCTTGAGAGACTTAGAAACATTTTCCTGAGAAGTTTATAAAGTTATGGCCATGCTTGAAACTGAAATGCTTGTGTTCCTTTAAAGTCAAAGGAAAGCTGTATTACTTTATTAGTGTTTGCAACAATGGAGAGTGCTGCAGCTGGCCAGAACTGCCTGAACAGGATGCTCAAGTGATTCTGAACGCTGGGGCGATTCTGTAGCTATTCTCTTCCCTTCCATTTCAGAGGACCTCAGCCTTTCAGCTGAGTGATGTGGAACCAACCAAGAATAACCCAAAGAAAGTGAGAGCTGTTCCTGTGGTGGGGATAAGTCCAGCATCAGGAAAACAGCTCTGGCCACAGCACACTTGGTCTCAATGCCACAAATGGAGCATGGCCTACCTGGGTCCTCATGTCTGCCTAGTCAGAGTGCTTCTTACAGGCTCAGCACCGGCTCAAGTCCTGTGGAAGAAGCAGTAACAAAACTCTCTATAGGGCAGTGGGTCTCAACCTGTGGGTTGCAGCCCCTTTGGGTGCAGATCCCTTCCACAGGAATCACCTAAGACTCAGAAAACGCAGAGACCTCCGAAGGCTAAAGGAAAACAGACGGACAACAGCCATGCAGGCTAGTCAATGTCCACGTGTGTATGTGCCTGTTGGGTCAGTACTCCCAATGAGACTCACCACCCCCAGTGTCCCTTTTGTCTCCTCTCCTCATTCTAGCCTGTGGAGGTTGCCTTTTGCATGTATTGTAATGCTAAATACAGGCCCCCCCATGGCCTGTGGTCCCCAGGGATGAGAGTCTGCACTACACAAGTGACAAACCCAAGTGGTGCTAAGTAACCTTGCCCCTCCAAATTATCCCTGATTGGTGAATAAAGATGCCTATACAGCCAAAGCTGGTCAGAAGAGATAGGCGTGGTTCTTGGGTTTCCAACTTGTAGTCTGAGACTTAAGAGAAGAAAATACATGGTCCATGAGGGCTGGCCAATTGGAATTAAGAGCAGCCCAGATGGAACATAGCAAGTTGTAATTCAGGGTTATTGATGGGGAATAGATTTCAACAGCATAGAAGGTAGCTATCTGCCCAGCTCTAGTGCCAATTAAAGCTTATCATAAAAATAAAAGTTGTGGCTTTTGTCTGGGAACTGAATGAGCAAAGGCAGGGTAGAAATCGCTAGCCATAACTGTTTAGTAGTTTAAAACACCCCG